AGTACGTGTGAACGATTATTTCTCATCATATATAACAAATCTCACAGGAGTGCCACAAGGTAGTGTGCTTGGTCTCCTATTATTCATTCTGTATCTGAATGCTAACCTGTATATTAGGAAATCCTAATTCACTAAAAAAAAAATAAAATAAAAATTCAGTTAGCTGGAAATATAAAGATAATGAAGGTGAAAATAAATATAAGTGGGGGCGGCATTATTCAGTTTTTGCCCACCTAGAAAAATTTGAAGTCAAGGGGCTGCTTAAATATACACGTATTAATTATAATTGTTTACTTTTTATCCTACTACTTAACGACGTATGAGGGTTGTCGTTCGTAGGGGTGCAACAGCTAGTTAACAGAGAAACAGATTTTAAACAGATTTTTAAACAGATCTGATGACGTCAACTTTGTTGGTGGAAAGCTTGTGGAGAAATAAATTGTAGTTCTGGTATGTAGGCGTAACAGTTTTATTGGACGACAGTCATGAAGCGAAATTATTTCCCTTCAGCTAGAAATAGTTTCGCAAGAGAAACGTCTGGTAGAAGGGCTGCCATTTCAGATCTTCATTTGTGAACAATATCTGCCTCTAACGCACATAACAGGAGTTAATAGCTTCGTGTTGCTATCGATTCTTGACTATCAAGATGAGGATCACTGATAGGAAGTAATAGGGTAGGTACATATCAAGTGTTCTACATTATTGCTGATGCAGTGTAATATAAAACACATGTCAAACTTTTTTCAATAATCTCAAACAAATAAATCAAACCTACTGTTCGAAAACAAGGCGCAAAAGATGGAAACATGAGCTTGTTTCGACTCAATTCCCGTAACAGTGTAACATACTCTTATATTAATTGAGAGAAACGCGGTTAATTACGTCGCCACCCCAAAAACTAGTGACTGAAATTCATGTTTATGTGAACAATGGTTGATTCATGATGAAGTGTCTAGCCGCGAAAAAAAATATATTTGAAATTCACATCACTGTAACCTTCTAAACAGCATGTAGTCTCTAGTAATACATCATTCTATCAATATTATTATTATATA